CGCCCCCACCACCACACTCCCCGCCTTCGCCCCCTTAATCCCAAACGTCAACTCGTCCGCCCTCCCCTGCACATACCGAAAGCTGTCCGCGCTAAGCCAGCTCCCACACCCTCCATCCGCAAACCCCTTCTCACTCTCCACGACCTCGAAACTCAGACGCCATTTCTCCTCGCTCTCAGTCCTGGCGTCCGGATCAGTCGGTTATATGCGAATGCTGAAATTATCGAGCGGAATGCGCGCGAGGTTGGCCATTGCGGCGTACACGTCAACGCCGTCGTTGGTCCACTTTGTGATTGCAAGGCCGGGCCCCTCGTCCTGCGCGATGGTCATGGAGCTGCTGTTAGCGGCGGAGAAGGTGCCCGTGTACTTTGCGTTTGCCTGGGTGCGGGCCGCCGCGTCGGCAAAGGGCACGATGGCTTCGACGGCCAGTGACATGAGGTCGTTGACGGTGGCGCCGGACCGCGCGCCGGCGAGCGTGATACTGATGGCGGGGTCGTACTCTGGGACCAGGACGGCGTAGGCGCCGTAGCCGGGGATGACGCCTTCCTTGGTGTAAAGGTCGATGGGGCGCTTGTATGTCGTGGAGAGAGTGTCGGGGCGGTAGATCTCCTAGGGCGCACCGACGGCTTGGTAGAGGGATGAAGTGAGGGCGTGGGGTTTGAGCGATTGGCGGACTTCAGATGCGCTGAGTTGTTTGTGCTCGAGGATGGCTTGCTGGAATTTCAGGAGGTCGTTCGCTGTGCTCCATAGACCACCGGTGGGGTTGTAATTCGCAAAATCACCGACCCACCAAGAGTCGTTCGCACGGGGTAGCACTGCTTCGCCCGCCTTGGGAGTCTTGAAGGTCGTGCGCGTCATATCTAGAGGCTCGGTGATCAGGTCGCTGATAACATCTTCATACGATTTCGAGTGGACACTTGCAAGCGCCATTCCGAGAAGGTTGAAGCCAACGTTGGAATAGGCTGGACCAGTACCCGGGCTCTCGGGTAACCACTCTGGAGAATGAAACATGGTGAGCACCTCCTCTTGTGAGCAGACACGAACGCCAAGGACATAGTCACAGTTTGGCGACGTATTGCTCACTGTTGGCAGTCCTAACAGCGGGCCAGCATTGTTGCCAAGCTGATAGTACAAGTCCGCAACGTATCTATTCTTGCCCAATCCGCTGACTTGGGATGCGAGCATGCCGATAGTGACAGATTTCCACACATTGTCTCTTAACCCAGGAACGAAATTGGTGATTGGGTCGTCCCAACCAATTTGGTACTTGCTGAGCAAAACAGCGAGCACGGTGAAGGCCTTTGTGGTCGAAGCGACGCGGAATTGGATATCGCCGGTCCTTACCCCTGATACATTGTAGCCGATAGCGATATTCTCGTAAGAGAAGATTTCTTGTCCACCAATGGAAGCTTTAATGGCGAACGAAGTGCTGTTGGCCCAAGGACGTAAACGCCATTCTGTGAAAGTTTTGTTGTCTACCGGTACCGTTAAGTTGACGACAGGAGCAGGAAGAAAAGGGCCTGGAACGGGGCAGTAGGCGAGGGTAGAGGAAATAAGAGTGTAGAACAAAAGCACAAAGATATAATACGTTGCAGGAGAGGCGCGAGGAACTACAGACTGTAGCTGGATGCGTGAGACGCTGTGCTCTTTTCACCTCCAAATAGTCTGTAGTGATTCATTCCCCTGATGCCTGCGCCATGACGCCTACGTCGCTTGACCAATCCAGAATCCTTCGCGCCTTCCTCTACGCAATATTGCAGGGGTGTGGTCTTGATCGGAGAGAGTGGCTTCGGTCGGTTGTCCTTCTCCGTCTTCGTCTATTTTCCGCAGCTAGTTCCGTACCTGGTGGCTGGCACTCATCCATGTCGTTCTTCCCAGATTGCTGTTTACTCGTTTCGAAGGATATCGCAATAACATCGCCGCGATGATTCGAAGGAGAAAGCCTCAACAATTTCCAGGCGGCATTACCCTTTACCGCGCTACAAAAGACTTTGCGAGATGAGTGATTGGTTTGGGGTCCTGCGCAATTTCGACGGACTTAGTACGTCCACGTGCAAAAGAGCTCTTACGTAGATAGCCATATTACGCCTCAATCTAGACAGATCAGTATAAGCATTGACTTAGCCGAATCCCAAGTGCTGACGATGACCAGGATAGAAGAGAAAATCATCGATAATCAACGAACGACTGACGGGTCTTCGAGTATTCTGCCAAGATGTTCGTGCCTTGGCTCTGTCGTCGTCTTGCTGCCCCGCCTCACGCCCAGCTCGTGAGCCTCATGACGGACGCATCCTGCGCAGTGTCTTCTTGGAAAGATGTTCCGACCGGTGGTAGATGACTTTTGGCGAAGATGGTTGAATTGTCTTGTTGAAGATGGCGATGACGGCGAATGCCTACCGGTATCGATAGGCGGCCTGGATTCCGCAGCCAATCATACACTTCCCAAATCAGCTCCTAATTCCTTCCTGCATCGACCCGTTGGCATTCATCTACACAGCCGCAGCTGGACTGGTTGCTTGACAAATGGCCGGTCACAGGTTGCTCACCTCTGTTTTCTTAGCTCGCAGACGAGAATGTCCCGTGAACTTGGTCAAGTCGCAGACCCTCGAATTCTAGTATTCACAATTTTGCCCACATGACGACGAAGAAGCTTGGGATTCATAATGAGAATGGTATTCCTAATTTTTTGCATAGCTTCTAATCGCTGGTTCCCTCACGACTCCAAGCCCCTTCTTCAAAAACTGCAAGATATTGATCGCTGCAACTGGTATCACTGCTTCCGTCTCAACGATATCAACCAGATCAAGTGTCGGATACGCAATATTCTGACAGACTTGCGTCAAATTGAGTCTCGCAGGGTCGGCAGGTCCGCCGCTTCTCAGTGCATCGATGGCCAGTGCAACCGCGAGCCCATTGAACAACAAAGACTCATGCGTCGCAAATGTACCAGCTGGCGTGCCCGGGCATATGGTCTGGATCTCAATATTCGACACTCCGACATTACGCGCATCGAGTAAGAATGCAGACGCGCCAGTCCCTTGCTGCGGCTCTACGATCTGGTCGAAGAGTCCCGAGTATAGTGTTGTCGTCGGCACATACGCTGAATCGCCACCGCTGCTCCTCAGCGTTTTGATAAATGCCGAATTGTATTCCTGTTGTAATACACTTGGTGGTGCGGGGATAACACCTATATCCGCGCCAATGTCCACCAAGTTTGCGAGAACAGTTCCGTGGAAATCGGGCGAGATACCGATGAGCTGTTTGGCAGAGGCACGGACGGAGGGCCAGTACTTGAGCGTCCATTGGGCATTGATATTCCCTTGGGACCAGGCCATGATAGAGGGCTTGTTGCCAGTCAGTGAGTGGATGTAGTTGATCGCGTAGGCAGTGTATTCGGAGTTCATTTGGGCGTCCATCTGAACAAATAACGTTAAGTGTTTAGCATAAATCTTTATGGGGGAAAATCTTACGAGTAATGCATTTGGCACGTTAAGCCAAACGGCCTGTCCAATCGATGTATCAGGGCTCAAAATTCGTATAAAGTTTCCAGAGAAAGTCGCGCCTCCAAATGCGGCTGTTCCTGGGAGCAGGATGATGGGGTTGGGCGCATTCTTATAATCGAAAGTAGGCGGTATATAGATTGCGGTGCGCAAGTCGTTCTCCGATATCGAGTACGAAGCATCATCCACGCTTGCTTTCGGGTAGATATTAGTTGGTGGGTTTGGGTTGCTATTCCTGAACGAGTTTATCCCAGCTGGACTCTGGTTGATTGTAGCTCCCACCAAGCCCTCAATCCCAAGGCCATTCAACTCATATGCGAGCCCATTTGCAATGTACCCGAAGCTAATGGGTTTGTTCCAATATCGGTCCTTGAGGAACGATTGCACGTCGGAGATGCTGCTTGGTGCCGTACTAGGAGTGGTGTTGAGCAGTCGATCCAGAGTGTTGTCGACAAGACCGAGCAGACTGCTAGTAAGCCCAACCAATCCATCCAGAAGCTGGGGATCAGCTGCAGGTGTGGGAGCTGGAGCTGGCAGGCCATTCGCCATTAGCGTTAACGAGCATAAAGTAAGTAGAGTACATGGAAACGAAGAATACATCTTGTCGAAGTGTCCGAAAGCACAGAACAAGACGATGGCTTGATCGCCTTACAGAAGCTCATTTGCCCTACCATTGTCTTCTTATATCCAACTGACCGACTTCAAGGTCTATTTCACGCGTCTTTCCTAAGACTGAGCAACACCCGGCACTAAGGAATAGCGCCCGCGTCTAATCTCGAAGGCCACTCTCCGTTCCCGGAATTCGATTCTAAAGGACCTAGCATTATCGCGAACGATACACACGACAATAGGATAATTCTGTAGGAAATCGGCGACAGGAAGCGGGACCGAGGCTTGAAATGTGGAAAGTACAAAGATAGAAGAGATCATGGTGGTGTGCAGCGATTCGGGAATGGTGCTTGGAGTCAGTTGGGCAATTTGTGGGGTTCAAGGCATCTCATGTCTGGAACGCTAAATTAAGATGCAGATCATAGGAGTCTCGATGAGCAGTCGACTTTCGAGCAGGTCATATGCGACATTGAGTGCTGACGAGGTGGCCTTGGGAAGCGACGCTGGATGGCAGGACGCGTGTTCGCCGCAGAGCTGGGATTCCTGGAAAACGGCACTCTCTAGCAAAGTTTGATCATTACAAACTATTATGACTACTCTGAGCATCGTAAAGGACAAAATCTGCCCGCTGCACTTGCTTTGCTGCTTCGTGGTTGGTGGGGAAGGTGTCCAGGTCACCAGGTGCCCAGCCCAGGTACCAACTGTGGTGAGATTTGGCTCGTGCGCACCGCCAGCCCAGCCCCTCCCTTGCCCCGCTTGACTGATCGACTTTTGCGACACAATGCGTTCCTCCTCTATCCATGTTCACTTCCAACTGCTTCTCAACAGTCCTTCTGGTTATGGCATGCTATATGAATTTACAAAAGCAACAATATTTATATCCAAGGCACTGGCTTCGTGGTCTAGTGGTATGATTCCTGCTTTGGGTAGTTACTCAAATCTGCAGGAGGCCCCGCGTTCGAATCGCGGCGGAGCCCATAACTCCGCTCTCTAAGCCTTCATTTTTTTTTCTTTTTCAATACCTTACTTATACAACAACAATATTTCCTGTGCATGTTTATAGTTGATCCTTTTTGAGGGTCCGATCACCTCTCTTTACGCGGCAATGTGAAATGACAGATGTTCAATTCTCTCCAAAAGGGTACTAACAGCGCGCACAACATGAAATGTACAATGGCATCTCCACTTGGCGTGACAATGTCAAATTTTTTTCATAGGCTTGTGCGCTCGTGGTGCAAAGTTACCAGCTCTTCTTCTTCAATCGTCGGTAAAGTTGTATATTTCACTCTTCCCTCGCGTTTGAAGCATTTCGAACCGTGCAGTAGATGTCCCCTCTTCTGTCTCACGAAGCCAGCGAAGCACGCTGCACTGATACCGATAGCGCCTACGCTAACATAGGCCGCATACCTAAACTCATGCGGCTGATGCCAGATCATTGTGATCAGGAATGATATCAATTCAAAGAAATTCTGGAGTGCCATCTCGCAAGCAGAGAAGGATCCACGAGATGATTCGGGGGCCTGCTCCTGAACCAAGTATTGAACGGATAGATCGAAGCCCCAAAGACCAACACGACTCAAGGTGACCCCAATTACGAGAGTCGCTCCTGCAAATTTCGTTGAAGTATTGACCAGGGAGTAAAGTGAAACAGCTATGACAATCGAGATAAGCTGCTCGTTGACGAACCACAGCCCGGAACGCACCGCTCCGATCCGTGCCATGAGAAGGGGTGCAGCGCAAGTGGCTGACAACTCAAGTATGACGGCCACCAGTCTCATAAGAGAAATGTGAACTGATGTGAATCCCAATGTCATCAGATATGTCGACATTTGCGAGGCAAAGCTGAGGACGGTGAGGTGAAGTAGTGACAATGAGAAAGACGCGAGGAATGCTGGGTTGAGAACATAGTCTTTCCATGGTCGCAGAAGTGCCAGAACAGGCGAGTCATAGTGTTCTGGCCCGATCGATGCTGTCTCTACTGTGTTGTCTCCCTCCTGCAATTGGATCTCAGTGGAACGGTCCATTTTCTTGACTGCCAACTCTGGAATAGCCGAGAATACTTGTGCTATGGCGAAATATTCGAGGACTACGCCCAGTATATTCTGTCCAAATATCACCCAGATCGCGACCCTAGTAGAGTATGCGTCAACTACCGAGATGAGAAGTGGAGCCATCAACTTGCAGGCCAAGTCGATTCGTCGCATGGAGCTGTTGATATCTTCTCTTTTCATTCCAAGGCTGTCAGAGACCACAACCAACCAATCTCGCTCGATAGAGATAGTATTGGCGACGAATGCTAGTTTTTCCACGCCAGCCAGACCGACACTAACTCCAAAGCAAAGTACAGTGAGCCATTGGCTTGCTGAATTTCGGAGTAAGACAGCAAGTAGCAGGCACGATACGGCGACAGATATTCTCTGCCATATGATACTGTGTCTCACGGTCCTCAGGCGATGTGTTCGGTCCACAAGTCCTCCAATCCAGGAGCTCAGGAGAGCTGCGCATGCCGAGCGGAAGAGAGCATAGCAAGAGGCGTAGAAGAGGGTTCCAGGGAAAATCGTGGCCAGGAATATGACAGCACCGAACTCGAACATGCGGGCATTCCACGCTGAGAGAGTATGAGATAGATACAGCCTCCAGAGCACGGATGATGCGGGGCTGGAAGGAATGAGTGCATCTTCAGCGGGGTCGTCGTTTCCCGCCGATTGAGAAGCGAGCGAGTTTCTCTCCGGAAGGTGCATGACGGCGGAATTGAATCTTTGAGAAGAGTTGGGATTATGCTGATCAAGAGGCATCTTCATCGAGCGGTCAAACGTGGGGATGGCTCCATGCATATGCGGAAAGACCCCGTCTGTCAAACTAGCTGAAACAAGCCTAGCTCAGGGTCCATCTCGATTTCGAGGTCAACCAAGCACAGTATATGCACTCATCCTATGTCGACCAGTGCTCAATTGAGGATGCTGAACGATTTCATGTTAGATTTCTGTCATCTCCCACTGCATTGAATCTCCTGTTACGCGTTCGGCGTTCACCGCAGTCCTCAGGCCCCTGACCTCTACTCTCCACGCATGCACAAGGAAAACGTGTGCACCACCGCGCCAGATTTCCATCTACTGCCGGCTAACGATAGCGATTCACTAACATTGCCAAGTTGTTTAGGTGGTCTTCATATTGTTTATCTCGGACGCGCAAGCCCCAAGACTGCTAAGAAGCTTAGTCACAGTTCGACGCTGGGCGACCGAGTCTCAACTTCGTCCACGATTTCCCGCATGCTACATCCCCACGGCTAGTCATCGGCTCGAAACGAATGCCACGCTCGTTGGTACGCCCGAGGCGAGGTATGCCCTGTTCATTTCTCACACGCGTGCGTCACTTATAATCGTAGGATGGGTTTCTGTCCCTCTCGGTCCACACGCAGCGCGCTCGCGACCGCCGTTCCTGTACTCTATTGTGCCGCCCTACGCCTCCCGCGACCAAAATGAACCCCATGACAAAAAATCTACAGACTCAGGAGGTCGAAATAGTTTCGCTCGTAGTATTGCCGAGGGGAGTACGGTCGCATTACTTTCGCTTCTTGGGCTCGGCCTAGGAGGTTACGCATACAGCATCTTTTATAAACGCACGGTATCCCAAAAGATCGAAAATGCCTTCTCAGCCGGCTATTCATCCAACGAGCTCGTCGCTCTAGGTCGTGTCGCGTTCGGCACCCACCCTGAGAATATCCAGAGGGTGCTTGAGAAGGAATACTGGGTACCTCGACAAGAGCAGCCTATGATTGATGATATAATCAATGGCAAATCGCGAGGGCGCTACTATCTTATCATGGGCGAGAGAGGGACCGGTAAGCGATCCTTGCTACTCGAGGGCATGAGACGAGTCGGTGGATATGGCATCGCCATGCTGGAAGCCCATAACGATCTTGAGGTCTTCCGTATACGCCTTGGCAAAGCTCTCGATTATGAGTTCCATGAAGACTACATTGGAAGCCTTTTTAGCATCAAGGGTCCACGAGACACTACGCCGTTGTTAGACATCGAGCGTGCGTTAAACAAGATGGAGAAGGTCGCGCTTAAGCTGCGCAAAAAGCGAGGCCGGCCTCTTCTTCTCATTATCAACAACATTCATCTGTTCAAGAACGATGCCGGTGGCCAGGATCTCCTAGAGATATTGCAACAGCGTGCTGAAATTTGGGCGGCAAATGAGTTGGTCACCACGATCTTTACCAGCGATGAACATTGGACCATGGAAGACCTTATCCCACATGCCACCAACATGCACGTCATCAACATTCGCGATGTTCCGAAAGATGTTGTGACAACAGCACTGAAGAACTATCGGATGCGTTTCCACGACGAAGACGTGCCGCAAAGCCTCCTCGATCAGGTCTACGGCAAGGTAGGCGGGCGACTAATCTTCCTCAATCAAGTCGCCAAATCAAAGGACATGCTCAGTACTTGCCAGCATATCAACCGAAAAGAGAAGCTATGGCTCCTCAACAAGTGCTGGATACTTGGTGAGAGCATGGACGATGATTGGGAAGACCCACAAAAGCTTTGTTTTGCCGGTATGCAGCTGGCTCGCGAGCTTGTGCTCCGCGAGAAAGAACAGGACGGCACCAACAACCAATATATCCTTCCCGAGATTCCACTTCACGAAGCACGTCAAATCATTACTCGTGCTGATTTTACTCAAGATTTGGACCACATTAATGTCATCCATATCGACGCGAACGGCATGGTAAGGGCGGATTCGATGGCGATGCAGAATGCTTTTAGAGAAATCTGCAGTGAAGACGGATTTGAAGACCACCTCAAGGCTACATTGAAAAGATTAGATGAGTTGGAAAGCTTGCGTAGGACAAGGGAGGTGTCATTCAAGGAGCAAAAGGACTATGGAGATGGCACTCTTCCAGAGCAAACATATTGCGCGAAGTTGTAAAGACTGCACTGTGCGTGAGGCTGAACAGCTAGGCCGGCACATGACACGCACGCCAATGAAGTTGAAATACGCCAATTAATATCTTAGAAGTAGTGCTATTTCTCGACGCAAGTCTACAAACAGCGCATGGTTGCATTTTGGTGGTGCGACGATTTCATGTCTCAACCCTATTCTCCTCCTTCCTATCCGGATAACTTATACCAAAAAGCTTCCCAGGAATTATAGTGGCGTAAAAGAAAACCTATTAAATTAGGAGCCCTATAGATGCAAAAGGGAGCAAAAACAATCAACAGGAAGGATTCGCTGCTCATCACCGACGCAACTACTAATTCCCCGCTCGCAGGCTTGAATATAGGAGAGCGGACGGGGTCCCTAGCTTTCACACGCGCTTGAAGCCATCTTAATCCTGATTTTTTCCGTTTACAGTCCTCGACCAGGCTATTCCTAATTTGGCCAACATGCACCGCTAGATGCACCGCCACATCCCGACAGGAAACAGAACAGCGTAAAACGGCGCAGAACAGGTACCGTAAAACAGCAAGAGGCGATGCGACATGGGGGAACAAGTTTTTCTTCCGCTGCGCCCTCACACCAGCTTTGACACCAACACCAATCCACACACGCATTCCTCGCACGCACATGTGTACGCACGCATACCTCAGTCCTGCCGTTTCAGTTGCATCACAGATACATACCATATCTACAAGTTTGCTCATCATTAAGGATGGTTATCTCAAACTCGTCAAATGAAACCGACTTCTCCGATCTCATAGCTGTAGCACAAGATCTAGATGCCCCTGGGCCGCGGACAGTCACTGAAGACGACATTAGGCATCTTTTATTGCCTGAGAGCTTCAGGATTCATTAATATATCATGAAATTGTGGTCGCAGCAAGTGTCACATCCATATAATTAGGTTTCTTCGCTGACTTTGGTCGATAGATTCGCTCTCCAGATCCTCCAACAAAACTTCACGCCAGATAATCCATTCCAGATAATTCCGACATCTGATAAGATCAAGCTCTTTCTGAGATGGATT